AACAGACTTCCTCCAATCATGAGCCTTATGTAACTGATGTCAGCTGATGCTGAACAAACCAGTTGGAGTAAGTCTGTGTGCAGAGACAAGCTATCGGCAGTTTCACTCTTGATTGAATGTAATCAGTTATGCAGAAGAGCATGGAAATAGAGCTGCAGAGAGACGGTTTGGACCTCTTCCCTCCGAGGCTATCCGGTCCATGTTTCCTAATTACTAAATGAAAATGTGTTCTGCACTATCTTTAAAATATTGATTTCTTAATTTTGGGTTGGAAAAGTGGCGGTCGTCTTGTACATGGGGGCGTCTTATTGATGGAAAAATATGGTATTTATATGAGGAGCTAACCAATCAGTACTATTCGTACAATCTTTAAGTAGTAATCTCCCTCATAGAATGAGATGGATGTATCTGGGATTGTAAGTAATTCAATGTCACAGCAACAACCTATTTTTTACTATTTACTGTTTAATCCAATTTTGAGGCTGTCTGACTCATTGACAACTCTTGGAGGCTTACAAACAAATAAACATGCACTCATGACTTCCCGATTGGACTATTGCAGTGTGCTCTACATGGGGCTGCCCTTGAAGAGCATTTGGAAGCTTCAGCTGGTGCAAAATGTGACAGCGTGGGCAGTTAATGGTGCCAGTTATTTGTGTGAGCTGCATTGGCTACCAGTTTGTTTCTGGGTACAATTCAAGGTGCTGGTAGTTATCTTTATGCCTTATGTGGCTTGGGGCCAGGTTATTTATGGGACTGTCCCTTCCTGGATGTTTCTACCCATCCTATCCAATCCGGCAGGAGGAGCATACTGTGGGTACTGTTGATCATGGAGTGTTAGCTGACGGGGCCCATAGGAGAGCTTTTCTGCCATGGCACCTGCCCTCTGGAACGTCATCCCTCCAGAGATTAGGTTGGCCCCAACTCTGCATGGCCTTGAAGGCCTGCCTGGTTCTGTGCTTGAGCCCAGGGCCCCATGTATGTGGCCAAGCCCATTTCCTGGCTGTGCTGAGGGCTTTTATGATTCTCTGGCTGCTGTGCCTTTTATTTCTCATTTTATTTTTTATTTGTGTATATTTTTATTTGTTTTAATGTTGAGAGCCACGCAGAGTCCTGTACTGAGAGGGGCAGCTATATCAATTGATTTAATAAACAAACAAGTTAAGAACCTCAGTGCATATAAAAAAGAGAATATGGCCAACCAGAAGAATAAACACCCAAACTTAAACCAGACAAAACTAAGCTATATTAAAAGGGAATTTACAAACACCCTGACCCAAGGCTTGTGGGAAGAACCAGGTTTTTAATAATTTCCAGAACGTCATAACAGTGAGAGCTGCACAAATCTCAGGGGTGGGGTGGGGATGTATCATTTTAGAGGGCAGGTACTGCAACTGATAGGTTTGATGGACACTAACCCTAATCTGGAATACTCTTTCAGGCTGCAACTGCTAATTGTACTGTATTGTAACTATAGGTAGTCCTTGACCTACATTGTACTATAGGTAGTCCTTGACCTATATTGTACTATAAGTAGTCCTTGACCTACAACCATTTGTGCAGTGACCGTTCAAAGTTACAACGGCACTGATCGAATGGTGGTTATGACTGGTCCTCGGAGTTCCAGCCATCCCAGCACTTCTGCAGTCATGTGATTACAATCTGGGTGCTTAACAACTGGCTCACACTTACTACTGGTTGCAGCGCCTTGTGATTATGTGATTGTCATTTGCAACCTTCCCTGCTGGCAGGGAAGCTGGCAGAGAAGGTCACAAGTCACTGGAATAAGTCTCCCCCACCTGCACATCCTCCCCCAGCCTCTCTGTGCTTGCACCTCCCTCACACCTCCTCGCACCCTCACGTACCCTCCTTGACCCTCATGTGCCTCTCCTGCACCCTTGCGCACCCTCATGCACCTTTGCCATACCTCCCCCACACCCTCATTTGCACCCTTGCATACCCTCCCCAAGCCTCGCTGCACCTTTCCTGCATCCTCCCTGACCCTCAGCACACCCTCATGTACCCTCCCCACACCTCACTGTGCCTCGCCATACTCCCTTGCACCCTCATGCACCCTTTCCAAGCCTCACACACCTTTCCCTACCCTCACTACATCTCCCTCACACTCTTGCACACACCCTCACACCCTCGCTGCACCTGCCTTGCATCCCTGCACCCCCTCCCTGAGCCTTGCCACACCTCCCACACACCCTCCCACAGCCCCTTGCACCCTCCCCCACCCAGCAGCAGCCACTTGCCTGCCTGCCAGCCTGCTTGTGAGCCGCCTGAGATTTGCAACTTCCTGCTGGCTTCCCCACTGACTTGGTTGTGGGAAGCCAGCAGGAAGTTGCCTCACCTAACGACTGTGGGATTTGATTAATGACAGCAACCGGGACTGCTGGAATTGCCGTCGCTTAGTGATGCAGTCACGCTTTATCACCATATTGCTTAGCGACGGAAATTCTGGTCCCAGTTGCTGCCATAAGTCGAGGACTACCTGTATGTGGGTCCTTTGGGGCTAGTGTGAAATGTAACTTGTGAAGATGTTGATTGCAAAAGTATGTGCTTTAGTTAAAAACACAGTACAATCAATTTAGCAAACATATGCTTAGATACACATAGCCAACATTCACCCAAATAGTTGTAACAAAAGCAAATTAATTCAAACAGTTGTCCAGAGAAGGATATGCAAATTTTGCTTTCAACTTTATAGTAAGGATTTTGGCAATAGGATAACAACAGCAAAGAGCAAGTTGGAATTTTAGCTTGAAGTCACAGTCATGCAAGTAACAATACTAATAAAAGTAATACTAGGTATGTAGAATTTGATTCCCCATTTCCTTACAACTTGGTCACTTTATCTGTTTCAGCCACCTTATTCAAGGTGATTACAGCTTCTAAGTATCAAATTATTACATGTTTTTTAGTTATAATGACCAGCAAATCCACTCTATCCTTGAGATTCTTCATCAATGATAACTCTACTTTTACAGGGCTAAATCAAACTGTTCATGTAGTTTACACGATTACTGCCAATTGTAAGAGATTATGAAAGTTGTTCAAAAAGTCTGGAGTGTGCCAGATAAGTTGCTACAGTTATTATATTATTTATTGGCTGCACACTTCATATCATTTCCTGTATACTTGCAACATTTAAGCTGTAATTTAGAAACATTGAACAAAATTGGTTTGTAGAAATCAGTTCCTAGATGTTTTGTCCTTGAGATTTGTCTGCACAGATTATATATTCTTCCTTTAGACTTTTAAATCTATAGCAGTTGAACAATTGTTGGACAATGTGAAACATATTTCACATAATCTGGTTTCTGAAAATAGTGAGCAATATTATCAGTTTAGTATCTGTTTGGCCATGTAAGCTCTATTTGGCCAATCTAGTTGCCCTCCAGAGATGTGGACTTCATCTCCCAGAATCTCCTAACCAACATGTCGATTGCTGAGAATTCTGCAAGTGGATATTTACATCTTTGGAGGGTGTTCATTAGGAAAACCTAATGTGTGCATAACTTAAATATTTGAATGGAGATGTGTTAATTTAACAATTCTTCATTCTGGTTTTTCAGCTACATTAGTCATGTTTTGTACTTCTTAAGAAAGAGTTTTGTTATGTCAAGAAATCAAATACATGCTCATGTGCCTTTTTTTAAAAGGTTTTCCATGATGTTGCTTATAAAGCCAAAGACAGAAATGATCTGCTATCTGGAATTGATGAATTTTTAGATCAAGTGACCGTTCTTCCTCCAGGCGAGTGGGATCCATCTATAAGAATTGAACCACCCAAGAGTGTTCCTTCTCAGGTAAGTTCTTCTGCAAATGAAGACACCTTTAAAAATGTATAATGGTATGGTAAGTGTGTGCAAGACTATATCACAAACCTGAAAAATAATTTTGCAATGAGTTAACAAAATGATGAAATGATGAGATCAAATTCATAGTATTGTTTTTATCCTATAAAAAGTGATTCAAAAAGAAAAGAAAAAAAATCACCCTGAAACTTTTACAGCTTTCAGATAATTTCTTGAACAGGAGTTATGGCATATCCACAGCTTGATATAAACTTTACTATACCTAATACAGATAATAATACAGATAAATCAATTGTCCAGATACAATTGATTTAAACAAGTTATTATTAAAACAATATTGTGTTAATTGGTGGAAATGATTTCTGAGTTGAGAGTTAATATTAGATTAGCATTTTAAAAGTCAAATTGTGGTTTTGAAGAAACACTGTATTATATGGTTAGCCTAGAAGACTATTATAGATGTGAAAAAGAGCTTGAAATTATGCTTGTTATTGTAGTGTGGCTTTGAGAGTGGCATGGTGTAGTAGCTAAAATGCTGGACTAGAAATGGGGATACCCAGGTTTTAGTTATCCTTAGGCATAGAATCCATCTGGGTGACTATGGGCCAGTTATTCCTTCCCAGCCCTAATTATTGTCAGACTGAGACAAGTTGGCTGAAAAACAAAACCCTTCATCAGATCATGTATTGGTAGCTTCATTATATGAACTAGATAAAGCACAATGCAAAACAAGCAGACCTTGCAACTAAGAGGGACAAATACTAAGAATAATAACAACTGTAGTGTGACGTAAAGGCAAAACTCATTTAACAGATTAATGTTAAATGCAGGAGAAGAGGAAGATTCCTAAGTTTCCAAATGGAGCTGCTTCTCCTGGAGAACCCCTTAATGAAGAAGGTCATCATGCTGGACCTGAACTACAGAGAACTGGAAGGTGTGTAGATTTTACTTTAGTTATAACAATATCGATGTAAAAATCTGAATTATTGCTGCTTTAAAAATTTGCAAAATGTCATGGATTAAAATTTGTACATGAGTATGTTTGATTCCTAGCCAATGGTCTATTTTAGTCTCTTAGTGCAGTAGAAGTATTCTTTAGTAGACTCTAGGGACTATGGTGAAGTTTTAACACAATATCTGAAACCATATTATGAAGATAAAGATAGCTTGAAGCCAAAAATTGTCTATGGGAAGCTAGATATTCAAAATATTGCAGTAAAGAAAACTTATAAAGATTTCTCACATATGAAAATTGTATAGATGTCCTGTAAGTTCCCAGTCTTGGCATTTACAGCAGGGAAAAGCTTTGAAGAAGGATAAGAGTATCTTGAAATAATATCTTTGTTAAGCTGATTTGTACTGAAATGTCTTCATATGGAAAATCCTTATGAATATTCAGTTGCCTCAAATTTAAAGATAGCTAAATTTTAACTAAATGCTATAGTTAAAGGAGAGATAACCCTGACAAGTGGAAGATTTAAAATTTTAATTTCTCTCAAAAGTTGTTCATCTTCCTCAGCACAAATAGCTGTCGTGTTTTTTTTTTCATTCTCACTTAGTTGCAAGCATAAATATAATGGACATTGTAATTCATCTTTTTTGTAGATTAAACTGGTTTTCTTTCTAAGAATATTTTTTAATTGCAAGGTTAATTCTTTCAGTATCTTATAAACAGTGAAACGATGCTATCAAATACTTGCAGCTAGCCTCCTCTTTCTTTAAAAATATAAATAATATTTAATATCAAGATTGTACGTCTATTTTAAAATTATTCAAGGCATATACTACTACTCACTGCAACCAGTATGCATGCACAGAACTTGGTACTGAGTGCAGAAGTTGATGTCCTGAAAATGTTTTCATTTAAAACAAGCACCTGAGACTAACAATAGGTACTTTACAATTAAAATACATAAATCAGAATATCAATTCACTCTACTGAAAATGTATAGATGAAATTGGTATGTTTGCATCTGTATTGTCAATAGGTTTGGAGTATAAGGCTAATTTATGCTAAAAATCTGCACTGTCAGTCTTGTGTGTCCCATAATTTTAAACATTCTGGAGTCCTATAGAGTACAGTTTGATGAGTTTCATCTCACCTATTTAGGCTTTTTGGTGGTTTGATACTTGACATCAAAAGGAAAACATCTTTTTTCTTGAGTGACTTCAAGGATGCATTAAGTCTGCAGTGTCTGGCCTCGATTCTTTTCCTATACTGTGCCTGTATGTCTCCTGTAATCACTTTTGGAGGGCTCCTTGGAGAAGCTACAGAAGGCAGAATAGTGAGTACAAAGAATGGTAGTAGCCAGGATTTTAGCTTTTCAGAGGCAAGTGACTGTGTTCATTTGTCTCCTTTATTTCTACTTTTATTTGAAGACTTTTATCAACATCATTTTGACTAGCCCTGCCCAATAATACATGTTTCTCAAATATGTGGAAAAAATGGAGAACAGGAGAAGATGCACAGTTAAGGTAAAAATTATCCTGCCTTGATGAACCTGTTTCATGATCTGAGAAACAACTTTCTTGTGTTTGTTTTTAAAAGGCCTTAAGCTAGTATTGGAAAAAAAAAATTTATTCCCTCTTCAGAATATACTCAAGAGTGCTAATTCAGAGATCTTGTTTGTCTTGTGAAATAATAAAACCATGAAAAGAATATGCTTTTAAAATGTTTTGGAAATAAAAATTCAGCATTCTGTGCTAAACTAAATGTCATGTACACATGCATGTAATAAAATTCAAATGGATCTCTTTGTTAGAGAAAAGCTATTTCAGAAAGTGATGATTTGGAACAATGATATGGTGAGAAAATCCTTTTTCTGTGATAAATGACTTCAGTGTAAAAACCATTTACTACCATCTTTCCTTCCCCACCAACCCAAGTCCAGGCTTGAATGTTCCTGGAGATATAGCAGTGGAGAAGAGATGGCAGAAAAATGGTAAAATGTCCTTTCTTACAGGTTCTCCATGCAGAATAATTCTCTTAAATTTGCTTTTCTCTACAAGAAATAATTGGATTTGAATGCATGTATGCAACACCTAGTTTGGTTTTCAAATATTTTTCTGTTGCCAGAGGAAAAATATATTTCTAAGAAAAAAATGAGTGTGAACTCTAAGCAGTTTTGTCACCTTAACTATCATATTTTCATGATGATTTCAAGTATATCAGCTATCATAACAGTTGATTTATCACAGCTTTCAAATTAATGGAAATAATTGAATATATATGTTATTTGTGCTCAACATATTAGTTTGTGTTTGGCACTTGTGAAACTACTTTTTTAAAGGAGTTATGGCATACTAATAGGTCAATGCAAATGTATTCTTCAGAGCATGGGGTGGGAAACCTATGGCTTGTGAGTCAAATGTTGCCCTGAATTGCACTTTTGTCATCTCTACAGCATTCTCAGTTTGCTTTGCTGAAATTTGGCAGCAGAACAACAGATTTTTGGCTGTGGGACTTTTCACATGTTGGGGGCAAAAATAAGTGACCACTTAGTTATGGTCAGCCTCCATGAGGCTTAATGAATACATTTGCTTAATGAGTACATTCCAAACTCCCAAAGAAGGTGTAAAATTTGCCTCTGTTCATTACATTATTGTCATGCCCCCCTGCGGTCTTTGGAAATGGATAGCTTTTATAAATAAAAAAGTGCAGCTCCCTCCTACAAAAAGGTTACCCACCCTTATTTTAGAAGGAAAAATATGCATGTTTGTAATCCTCAAATTTATTTTCATATATATGGAAAAGTTAACTTTGTTTTCCAGGACAATATCAATACTTTGAATTTTACTAAATCTGTTATATACTTGAACACCTTTATATGTTTCATTAAATTATCCTGGTTTCAAAAACACAAAAACAATCTCCCCTTTCAACTTGCTTGTGGACAGCTAATTTTCTATAATACAATACATCCTGGTAATGTGATATCCAGAGTCTGTGACTACTGTACTTAGATTACTACCCATAGTATTGGTGCTAAAATACTAGTTTAACTGTATGTCATCAAGCAACTGATTTTAAAATGTCAATTTCCTTTGTGTACATTGAAAAATACCTTATATTGTATTTTCTAGCTGTCTGGAGTTGTTTGCTGCCTTCAGTGGCTTGGTGTGCATAAGTACTTTAGTTCTTGCACATGTGTTTAAACATAGTAACCTAAGGAACATGCTTGAATTCACATCATTTCCTCATATCTCCAAAGCTGTCATTTCTACAATATGCCTGCCCCAAATACCTAAGGTTAATGCACTGATCAGCTCAAAGACTAAATTGTGTGTAACTTTTGAAGAATGATTTTATATGCTAAGGGTAACCCATGACATTATGCTGGTTGTACCCAATTTTAGCTTAGCTCTCCCACTGACCCTTATGTTTCTGTGATTATTGATTATTTTTAGTGTACAGTATCAACCTATATTATATTTGCCCAGTAAGTATCTTCATTGATCTTAGATACTATGCAGTGAATCAGAGTAATTAAAACTTAGGTTGTTTGTTTGTATATTTTAAATTACTTTTGGTATTTTAAAACACATAGCAACATAATTTAAGTCTTCTGATTCTCTATGAGTGGCCTATACAGAAAATACTCTATTAAAGGACATTAATAAATGGGAAGACAGTTTCTGGACATCTATGGAACACTGTAACTGAGAAAATGCATTACTGGATAAGACTGACTTTCTGATCTGTTTATTATTTCCATTGTCTGTTTATTTCTTTTAAATATTAAATCATCATTGCTCTGTTGCATCCAGTCAGTTTTTGATTTCCATGATTGATTTTTTTTTTAATACAAACATGCCCAGCTTGGGTAAAGGTTTGTTGAAAACATGCTTTATTTATACAGGAAAAGTTATCCTTGTTTTCCTACTTTAATTAGATTTGGTATATTACAAGTATTGTAACATCCTTTTTTTTTTCCTTTAATGTGCCAAAATGAATAACTTTTCCTTAGGTTTTTATATATATTTACAGTTTAATTGAACCATTTCAGACTGAACACTTTATTGCTAATCTACAATGTGAAATAAAATGTATTTAGCCAATAATGTTTCTAATATTCTAACTCTTGTTGCTATTAACTAATATATGAAAAGACACATTAGTAAATGTTTAATCTTATCTTCAGTGAATCACAGGATTTTTTTCCTCCCTCCAGAGTGCAATAGAGTCTTTATTTGGAGCATCATTAACTGGGATTGCCTATTCACTTTTTGCTGGGCAACCTCTGACAATATTGGGCAGCACAGGACCAGTACTAGTATTTGAAAAAATATTGTTTAAATTCTGCAAGTAAGTACATTTTTCATTCTCAAAAACTCAGTTTATTCTAATAGTTTCATTTTATCTAAGGCACACCTAAGTAAAGATTTCAAACAGATCTAATATTGCATGACTTAATTTAGCAAGACATCAATTTTTCGTCTTCAAGGTTGCATCATCAAAGACTTTTAGAGTTGTCCTTAAGGGCAAATAAGGCAAACACTCTAGAACAAAAGTTATTTCATCTTTCCAAGTATTACTTGTTGATTCTCCAGGCATGAAGTTACAGATTAACTTTTTGATTTCATCTCATCAGCAAACCGTCAAGGTACTTCCATTAATAGAATTTAAAAGAATAAATACTAAAAAACAAAGTGCCATCAAGCTGCAGATGGAATTAAATTGTTCTCAGACCAGGGCCATCTATCGGGGAGTGGAGAATGTCAGGAAGATCAAGATGATGTCCATGACTGCATGATTGAAACCCTGCCCCATTTTTGCATGTGTCATGTGTAATACATGTTAAAAAGGGGGAAGAGCTTTGATCACACTGTTGCAGTCATGATCTTGACTTTTTTTTTTTTTAATTCCCCATGGTTGCACTTGTCACACACTAAGTTAGGCTTTCATCTGGCACCAAAGAATTAATAAGCTCTTAAAAGGATGCCAGGAATTAAAAAAGTATATAAGCACTGGAAAAGTTCTAGTTGCCATACATCTCTCAGAAGGCAGTAATGCCCTGAGACCAGCTTCTGCAGCAGATCTGTTATTCCTGATTTTAAAGTTTTACAGTTTAAAATTTCCAATCACTTTATTTCAATTGTTAAAAAGTCATTAAAAATTAAAAGATTAAAAAAAAGAATGAACAAAACCAAAACAACTAGTGTGGCTACTCTTCTGGAAACAAGATAAAATCAATAGCTTGAAATTCATTACTGATGCATAGGTATGTTTATTTGCTTGGGCGGATTCAGTCTTCCTTAAATTATGTTATCTAGTAGTGTGTGTGTGTTTATGTATGTGTGCGTGCATGTGTGTATTATATATATATATATATATATATATATAAGTGCATAGTAGAATGCTTTGCAACAGTGAAAATCACTCTTATAAATCACTCTTATAACATATGACTCTATGTTACCTTTTTCAACAGGGATTATGGGCTTTCTTATCTTTCCCTACGAACCAGTATTGGTCTATGGACATCATTTTTATGCATCCTATTAGTAGCAACGGATGCAAGCAGCCTAGTGTGTTACATCACTCGATTTACTGAAGAGGCTTTTGCTGCCCTCATTTGCATAATATTTATATATGAAGCACTGGAAAAGCTGTTTCATTTGGGAGAAGTGTATCCTTTCAATATGCACAACGACCTTGATAAGCTGACATTGTATTCGTAAGTGTGGTTTTTCAGTAAAATATGTGAGAGGGCCATAACAGCTCTTTTACTGTTTTCTTTGACCTTTCCTAGAAATTTTGAGAACCAGATTAATCTGGTAGTTCATCTAAGATAGAATCTAATACATCTGACTAAATTTAAGTCTAGATGCAGCAGAGTTATCCTCTTGTTCTATCATTTCTCTTGCTTATTACTCTTGATACATATTCCAATTATTTGCTTGGATATTTCCCATTCCGCTCCTTTTCTTTGCTTTTTGCCTTTTAATGTTTAATATTGAAAAGAAGGAACATAAGCTTTTATTTTTAGAATGAATCTTGAGCTCTTTATTAAACCAATTTGTTTTTTAATTGTGCTGCATTTCCTATTTTAGGTCATTTCATTATTTCATAACAAACTGTTTTAGTTGCCATTGTTCTGTTTTCAAAATATGAGGATAAATGTTAATATATTCGGTAACAAGATGAGCTGCTGATTCAAATGCTGAATTTTAAATTTGCTAGATGTGTATGTGCTGAGCCTCCAAATCCCAGTAATAAAACTCTGGAGCTATGGATGAAAGCCAACCAATCTCTGGGTACTATACCATGGACCAACCTCACAGTTAAGGTGAATGTCTTGAAAGGTGATGTAGAATTTCATATTGCAGTAATGTAAAAAAGAGAAAGAAGAAGTGGCATCTGACAATCTCTTAATAACGTGGCACACCAGTTGTAATCCCCCCTCCCTTTTTTGGGGGGGGAATACCGATTGACAATTAGGACTGCCAGTTTGAATTCCTAAATTTTTTAATTGTAAGGTAAACTCATCATACATGTGATCCACAAGTTTTCCATTATTAGAACAGTAGTTAAGACTTATTGGTCTCTTGATATTCAAAGGAATGGCTTCTCCCATTGATTTTCAGTTGTGTTCCTATTTCAGAATTGTGACAGTAAAATTTCAACAGGTGCTTTGCCTTGTCAGGCTTAAGAAGATTTGTAGCATGTATAACAGGGTTGTGTACCAGTTTAGATTCAAAGATGCTTCAGAGCCCAGAGTGTAAGGCTGATTCGTTTTTACCATTGCACTGGAGAATCTATGAGAGTCCAAGCACATACTAGTCAGGTGAAAAAACAAAATCAGTGACATCACAAGAAAAATTTAACTCTGTAAAATTTTGCCCTAAGAAATCATAAGCAGTTTCTTCTTTGCAGATCTCAATTTGAACTGTAATTCAAGAACTGATTGACTGATTATGTGCCATCAACTCAGTGTCCCTTCTTAGCAACCACATAGATTTTCTCCATGACAATTTGTCCCTAACCTGGTCTTTCGGGTCTTCCAGTAATGCACTCGTCACCACTGTAACTGAGTTCATCCACCTTGCTGCTGGTTGTCCTCTTCTTCTCTTTTCTTCCATCTTTCCAAGCATTACAGCTTTTTCCAGAGAGCTAGGCATAATGTGTCCAAAGTGGGATAATTTGAGCGTGGTCATTTGTGCCTTGAGTGAGAATTCTGGGTTGATTTGCTCAATAATCTGTTTGTTTTCTTGGGTGTCCACAGTATTCTCAGGATCTTCTCCAACACCAGAGTTCTAAAGTTTCAATATTCTTTCTATCCTACTTCTTCAAAGTCCGACTTTTGCTTCCATAGACTGTCACTGGAATACCATTGCTTGCACTATTTTGATCTTTGTAGGTATAAACATATCACAGCATTTGAATATCTTTTCCAAGGCCTTCATGGCTGTTGTACTAAGTGCTAGTCTGTGGGGCATTTCTTAACTTCTTGCTCCTTTACTGTTGATGGTTGATCCTAAAATGCAGAAGCTATCTACCACTTCGATAACTTCATTATTGATTCTAAGGCTGGTTGTTCTACCTGTTATTAGTTTAGTCTTCTTTATATTTACTTTTAGTTCCATTTTTTCACTTTGCTCCTTGACGTCTGTTACTAGAAATTGCAGATCCTTTGCATTTTCAGCTATCAGAATACACCATCAGCATAGTACAGGTTCTTGATGGTTCTTCCTCCAATTCTAAAATCATGCTTACCTTTTTC